GACCGGCAGCCACTGGACCACCAGGGAGAGAGAGACCCCCCCCCCCCAGCACTCCCAAAGGTAAGGAGGCTGGGTGGGGGGATTAAAAAAAAAAGTTAATGTGAGTGATTGTGTGTGTGTCTGACTGTGTGTCTGACTGTGTGAGTGTGTGTGTTTGTGTCTGACTGTGTGTGTGTCTGACTGTGTGTGTTTATGTGTTTGTGCCTGACTGTGTATGTGTCTGACTGTGTGTGTGTGTCTGACTGTGTGTGTGTGTGTGTGTTTGTGTCTGACTGTGTGTGTGTGTATTTGTGTCTGACTGTGTGTGTGTGTTTGTGTCTGACTGTGTGTGTGTGTATGTGTCTGACTGTGTGTGTGTGTGTGTGTGTTTGTGTCTGACTGTGTGTTTGTGTGTGTCTGACTGTGTGTGTGTGTATTTAGAAGGTGGGGCGGGGGGAAGGGTTGGGTGGGGGCGGCGCAGGGGGAGGGTTGCGTCTGAGTTTTGTCCTGCCTAGGGCAGCACAAAACCAGGATACACCACTGGAGACGGGTAGTAAAATGTATGGAATGCATTTCTGACAGTGTCACTGAATGGCAGTTAGGAAATGTGGTCACCCTAAGTCAGGGGCAGTATTACATAATCTGTATATGTATAAAAAAATATAAAAAGTAATCTGCAAAGTACAAAATGTTTGTGTCATATGTCGTGCTAAAAATTAAGCTAGGAATGTGCATATTTTTTTTAAATAATTTTTAGAATAATGGTACAGACATTTTATTTCTTACATTTGTGATGATTCTTTTTTCCTCTCTATATTGAAGGGACACTATAGTCACCAGAACCACAACAGCTAAACGTAGTAGTTCTGGTGTCTATAGCATGTCTTTGCAGGCTTTTTAATGTAAGCACTGCCATTTCGTAAAAAGGCAGTATTTACATTACAGATGAGGAATACCTCTAGTAGACACTCAGATGGCCACTAGAGGCGCTTCCTAGTCGAGACATGAATGCCGCCCTATGAAGTATCTGCGTATGTGCGGCAAAGCTGCGCATTCGCACCAGAGAGCAATGACGCTTCTGAATAGAAGCATTTTGTTGCTCCCTGCTCGCACCCTCCTATTTCGTCATTTTGACGAAAAGGGGGCACGGCATCAGGAGGATCCCGGCGCTGTATCTGGGTAAGTAAAACCCTTTCCCTGTAGTGACCCTTTAATGTTATTATTTAATCATTTATATAGCGACTGCAAATTCCGTAGCGCTGTACAATGGGATAAACAACTCCTAGTTTACGGAATAAGAATATACCCGTTGAGTAAAAATGCTATCCCCCCCCAGATTTCAAAACCACATAAGCAATTACTAATAACTTTTGACATGTCCATCTAAAAACGGTGAGAGCAGTGAAACATAGTCCAGTCCTCAAGGGACACCAACAGTCCAGGATTTAGTAATTTCTCAAATCTGTTTACGTAGGAATATGGACATAATGTGGACTCTTAAAAGGACCAGAATTTTCCAAACCATTCATCGACTCATTTATAGACTTAAGAACCATCGGTTTAGATTGCAATGCAAAGCTTTCCTTACGTAGGCCTAAGGGCACTTTTAAAAGCTCTCAAAATAATAAGAGAGAGTTATGTTGTTCTCTGCTGTGAGGTTTATGGGGAGGATACAGCTCGAAAGGTTACTGTGGTAGAGCTTTTCGGAAGACACACATGTGCAAACAAGATCACCTGTGACTTTTGATTTAGAAAGTATATACTTTTTTTTTAGTTGAAAAGTAGCAAACCTGCCAGTCAATAGGAGTGTAACAATTCTACAGAAACTGTTCTAGATTAATTAAATATAATTACATGGATGTTCCAAGAACCAAGACCAGTACATCATAATGCCACTAAAGCTGCTTCCCTCACATATCCTTTGATTTTCTTACTTGGCGTCATCACATTACACCAATCACAGCTTTAAGTTTGCATCCTAACTGCTCACACCACTCGCATGTAATACACATTGCTTCTTTATAAGAAGAATTAGATTAGCTGAAAGTCATCAAGCTTTATAACTTCCCAGTAGGCAGATTGAGTCTGTCTTGGCACTTATAATAAAGATAAGTTTAATCAAGTTTTTAATTTGTTTTTATAAAAGGAGTCCTTGAATGTAAAATAAATCACTGACACAGCAAGTTAAACAATTTTCCAACAGTGTTTCTTTAACCCCTTAAGGACACATGACATGTGTGACATGTCATGATTCCCTTTTATTCCAAAAGTTTGGTCCTTAAGGGGTTAAAGGATGCAACAAAGCTGTTTTTAACAGGGTTACGCTAAGCACCATGACCACTTCAGTAATGCAGCCGGAGGAGTAACTCCACCATTGGCAGTGTCATAACCCAGCCTGGAACAAGAGGTCCAAGTGGCTAATGTTAATTCTGTGCATATTGGAAATATAACATCAGCGCACACAGCTTGCTGGCAACAGGCACCCATGGCAGCACAGGCGTATCCTCCCATCCACATCCTTCCTTGCAGCGAGGGAATTTTAGTTTTAATTTGAGGGATGGAGGGGCAGACCAGCACAGCTAGGGCTACTCTTACCAAAAACAATGTTTTATGAAGCCCTATTAACCCCTGTTTTATGTATAGACACACATACACACAGGGCCGGCGCGTCCTAAAGGCGACTAAGGTAGTCGCCTAGGGTGCACCGGCCCGGGGGGGTGCTAGATTTAGGTGACCGGCAGGAGGGAAGTGCACAGCGCTCCCTCCTGCCGGTCACTCAATGTAGTGTGGCCGGGCGGCACGGGACGCAGGACAGGAACTTCTGTTTCCTGTACCCGGCCGCCGGCGGAATGATAGGAAGTGCTCACAGAAGATCCTGTACTGCGGTCCGTGCTGCCCGGCCACGCTACATAGGTAGGAGGCACAAAAGGGAGGGAGGACCACCAAGGGGGGGGTGGGAGAGGGGGAAAGGACCACTAAGGGGGAGGACGGGGATAGGACCACTAAGGGGGTGAAGGGAGGAGGGGAAGGACCACTAAGGAGGGGAAGAAGGTAAGGAACACTGGGGCGAGATGGAGTTTGGAAGAGGGAGGAGATGGAGTACCACTAAGGGGGTGGAGGGGGAGGACCACTACGGGGAGGAAAGGGAAAAGGACTACTAAGGTGGTGGGGGCAGGAGGGAAAGGACTACTAAGGTGGTGGGGGCAGGAGGGAAAGGACTACTAAGGGAGTGGGGGAAGGACCACTAATCGGGGGGGAGGAGGGGAAGGATCACTAAGGGGTTTGTGAGGGGGGGGTGGAAGACCACTAACGGGGTCCATAAGTATCAGTACAATGCAGAAACTTGTAATTATTACACAGATCTTTCTGCCAACACCATTCTATTGTCTTATATTGATAGAATATTTCCTTTACCTAGTAAATGTACTATTAATGATATATATATATATATAAACACACATACACACACACACACACATATATATATATATTTATTTTCCATATAGTATAGCATTAGTAAGTTACCTGGTTGTGCATTACACTGAGTGAAATCTAGACATATGTTAGAAATCATATATAAAACAAAACGTGAAAGTCATTTTACCTTTATTTGCTGGATTGAGTAATGTATCACCCAGAAGTGGTCTCATATTCGGAAGACGCAATGGCAAATTAAGAATGAATTTGAAAAATTCCTTGATACTGAGAGAATGAATAAACATGGTTTGTCACAAATTGGCATCATTGAGCCATTAGTTTAAATGGGTTTTCATCTGATTTCTATATAACTCTTGTGACTCAACAGGTATCTGTCATATTGATAATCAGCTGGAGGCTTGTCTGAATACGAGGGTAAACACCAAGTAAGCTCTTAAGGCAAGTTGTAACAAAGCAAAACCGTTATGAGCTAATCGTAAAAAATAAAAAGAGAAGCATTTAAAAAAATTGGCAAAAACGTTGTGTTCTTTGAAAGCAATCACAGGGAAACTGCCAAATCGTTCAACATCCTTGGGAGTGAAATGTATAACTGGCAGTGTTTCCCATAATTCAGAAATACACAGAAAGATAGCACAGTACACAGACATTGTAGATCCACCAGAGAGCAACAGAACAATACATCAAGCATGTAAAACAACACACAGAGTAAATAATAAAATATAAAAACAGAGAGAATGAAATACAGAACAATGTACAGGTGTTGAATAAGGCACAGAGGAAAATTAGGATAGAAAAACACAATGTAAATATATGTATAAAATAATACATTTGAAATAACATGCAGATATATAACATGCAGAAAAGCATAGACAGCATTATGCATTGAAAAGTATAAATGCAGATCAGCATGTCAAGACTGAATCATATATATTACAATTGAATGGTGTAAAAAGGAAACAGTTAACAACTAAATGATGACAAGTAAAGAAAAAATAATGAAATAATAATATTACAAAAGGAGTGATACTTTAACACGTCAAAAAACAGAAGAAGCCATACAATAACAGAACAATAAAGCAAAACAGGTTTTCACAGTAGACAACATTGGTTCATATAATTTTGTATCATGAAAACATTATTTTTATTGACATCAATCATGTTTTGGACATTTTAGAATTTTGTAACTGTGTTAATAACAACCAGTTCTGCTGGGAGTCATTCTATATGCGGACTACTTCCATGCAGTATAAATGTTCTATCGTTAAAGGGACACTGCACCCAGACCACTTCAATGAGCTGAAGTGCTCTGGGTGCCTACAAACTCCCATCACCCTTAACTCTGCAGTAGTAATTATTTCAGTTTTTGTAAACTGCAATAATTACCTCTGAGGGATAACTCCTCCTTTAGTGAGGGATTTTCTAAATTGAAATGGACGTTTGGTCTGTTATCGGACACTGGACGTCCTCACGCTCTGCATGAGGACCTCCAGCGTCAGATTTTCTCCATAGGAAAGCATTGAATAATGCTTTCCTGTGGGGAGATCCTAATGCAAACGCATGGCCGCGCAAGACCATTAGGTCTCCTCCGCCAGCGCTGGACCCAGGTAAGTGACTGAAGGGGTTATTAACCCCTTCAGCACCGCGGGTGCGGGCCTTGACAGAGGGGAAATCTATAGTGCCAGGAAAACGAGTTTGTTTTCCTGGCACTATAGTTTCCCTTTAATGAAAAGAGCACTGTAGTGGTCATTGTACCAATAGAGCCCACTCTCCCAAAGTAAGCCGACTTGGGGTCTGCTGGGTGCCTCTTCCTGCCTCTCTGCAGCTGTACTTGGCTCAGAGCGGCTCTCTGGCTGAGGAAGTGTAAGCAGGAAGTGACCCCCAGGTAAGAAGTTCAATCTTTTTTTTTTAAATGTATTGATTACTTAAAATGGGAAGGGGAGCCAGCAGCACACTCTTGGCACCTTAACTACTACAGTGCACTGTAGTGGTTATGGTGCTTGAAATGTTCTTTTAATAACAGAAGACAGCAAGCAATATAAGAGAACAATAAAACACAGGGTGCAATATGTAAGTAATAATCTTAATATATTATTGAAAGAATATGGATATTAGCATATTAAAGGGATACTTTAAGCAGCAAAAAAAACTTAATCAATCAGTTTTGGTATATAGATCATGCTTCTGCAATTTCACTGCTCAATTTACTGCCATTTAGGAGTTAAATCACTTTGTTTATACAGCACTTAACTGTGACTTGCACAGCCTTCCTAAACACTTCCTGTAAAGAGATATCTAATTTTTAAACTTCCTTTATATAGCATTTATCTCATCTCATCTGCTCTGTTAATGGCCTACAAGAGACTCCTCTGTGTGATTAAAGGCCAATCAACAGAGCAGGAGATAAAAAAGTATGAAAGATCTGAAATATTTTTTTATTTTTTTTTTCATGAAAGCTGTCTTGGTCACAGCCAGGGGAAGTTTAATGGAATGTTGAGGCAACTACTCTTTATTGAAAGTCACCATTTTAATCAACATTAAAAAAGCTTAAAAAAAGAAATAATCTAATATGTACGCATTTATATTTAGGAATTACTAAATCCCCAAAATCCACTCATCTTTATGAGAAGCTTTGGAATGTAGATTGTCCTTAATGCTTTTCTTTTCAGTAAAAATGAAGTAATTGCTGAGTGTAGAGGGAGTGGATCTTCATTACGCCATTTCTATAGCTAATGATAGGTACGTTATAAAACCATATGAAATATTTGTGCAGCATTTGTTAAATGTGTGTATGTATAAATATTATTTTTCACGGGCAGAGTGCCAGACTTATCATTTGTTTATATATGCCCATGAAAAATAATATATAGATTAGTACGAACCAAGTTGCTTCTCAACGTTGTATATAACCCAATAAAAGAAAGAGAGCACCCGTTGGATTTTTGAGTAAATCGATCCATGTATTAAGTGAGTATATATATCAATGTTTCGGCCCTGACGGGTCTTTATCAAGATGCCAAATAATACCAAGAAAGCATATTTTTCAAAAATCATGAATCGAATAAACAGTGTACTTACTGTTTCCATGTGAAACAAAAAGCGCCATGTCCCAAATATTGATGCACCGATCAGTGCTCCCTCTCCTTTGTGCATGCATAATGACGTAAGTCATTGGGACGTACCTCAAAAATGCACTTCCTATTGCCATAGTAACACTATGAGAGGTAATAGTATTACATAATAATCGTATAAATTAACGTGTTTTCAAGTATGTCCTGGGTCCACAAAACATTGCATTGATACAATAGGGTACAATAAAATACAAAAACAATATTAATACACAATAAATACAAAATTTAACATAGAACAGGCAGGAAATATATAATCAACCATGACGGGTGCATTCTGTTTTGAGGTATGTAGAGAGTGATCTCTTAAAGGACTTTAGGCTTAGGGAAGATTTTAAATTGTGCGGGAGGTCGTTCCACAATTGCGGTGCTCTGTAGGAGAAGGAGGATTGGGCTGCTTTCTTTTTGTATTGAGGTAGACTAAGTAGAGTGTTGGTACTGGATCGGAGGTTATAAGAAGTGGGAACAGCTGAGGAAAGCATTGTGTTCAGGTAGGGTGGGAGTTTCCCAGAAAAGCTCTTAAACACAAGGCTGGAAAGATGAAGGGTGCGTCTGGATTCCAGCGACAGCCAGTTTAGTTCTTTTAGCATGTCACAATGGTGGGTCCTGTAATTACATTGTAGCACAAATCGGCAGAACGAGTTATACAATGTGTTGAGTTTATTAATGTGGGATTGCGATGCAGATGCATATACTACATCCCCATAATCAATGATTGGCATCAGCATTTGCAGTACGATCTTTTTCTTTACTGAAGGGCTTAGGCAGGATTTGTTTCTGTAGAGGGCACCTAGTTTTGGATAAAAAAAAAAAAACGGGTCGCAAGAGTATTCTGAGAACGGACAGCAGCTAAAATAGTTTTGGATCAAGTTTAGATGCAAGCTTTTCTATGTGGGGGCCAAAAGATAGATTGGGGTCTAACATCATACCCAAGTATTTGAAAGAGTGGACTGCGGTCGGTGTGCCATTTGAATTTGTTTTGATGGATAGGTGGGAATCGTGTAATTTGTGTAATTTAGGTACTGTTCCAAAGATCATTGTGACAGTTTTGTCAGTGTTTAGGAAGAGTTTGTTTTTTGCGATCCACTTTTCTTCCTCTGTAAACTGGTCTTGGAGCACAGCCTCAAGCTGCGGTAGATCGGAATTGCTCGCATAGATTAAGGCCCACACTATCATGAAATCAAAGAACTCACACGATCACTAAGACGTGATGTAATGTCTGATGGCTATGCTGAGCCCTGGTTTTATGTTTTACTTACATGATCTATGCAATGCAGCAATTTACCAAAGGGTTGTGTTAACGTGGCTATAAGTTGATGCATATTTAGTTTATTATGAGACTTCCTCAAATTCTTTAAGCCTACTTTATGTCTACTTAACCTCCTGAGCATTTAAATAAGGCTTACTCATGCAGCCCAGTACCCTGATAGTGTATGGGGCCTCAGTTGTTACCCTTTTATGTAATCCTAACCTGACATACAGCAACAACTTTATCTTATCCTACAGCAAGTTTCACGCATTATTTTGCTTGTTCTCTCATGTACTGCATACCGTGAAGCCAACCATGTTATTGTTTAGCTTATTTTCTCAAAACAAAAAAATAGGCTGTATTAATCAGGAGTTTGGTACCTTGTGCATATCTACTCTGGTCTTGTCATATCTGCATGTGCTATAACTGATTTCTCTTGTTGTAATGTAACTTGAAAAACACAGATTGACAAAAAGAACAGTAATTCTAGAAAGGTTGTCATTGTTATCAATTGTCTCTAAATTTACATTCAGGATAATTCCTTTCCCCCTCTCCAAAGAACGGTGTAACATGATTTTGTTGCACGAGCAGGATGTTACTATGCGCTGCACTCATTACAGAACGCATGCGCGGAGTATCGTTGCGCGCAGCAGTGGCTGTGATGCCTGTGGAGCATATTTATACAGGTGTGTGTGTGTGTGTGTGTGTGTGTGTGTTCTGCCAATAGGTAAGATGGCGGTTATGGACACCGGATAAAGTGGGAGTACACTCATTGTCTATAGAGGTTGGTTATTAGAATATTAACATCTGTTATTATTATTTTAGGTCCCATGACTCTTTTTACTCCATATATGTTTTCAGTGCACCCAATCAGTTTTGATTTGATATTAAAATGTTACTATTAAAATATTGTGCCAGGACTTGAGGTGATGATGTCACTTCCTGAGCTGGTAACAATTTTGTGCTGATGGCCATCAGCTGTAAGAGGGCTTTATAAGCAGACACATTTGAACATGGATACAGGTACCCTTGATAAAGGCAGCCAGTTGGTGCCGAAACGTTGGGGGGTTTGGTGACTCGTGTTTCTGTCTGGAGGCTTGTAAGAATTTTTGTGGTAATTTATTATTGTTTTATTGTGTTTGCCCTTGCTTCTGTCACTTTGTTTATCTTTTCTTATATGTTTTCACTCTGGTACTTTTTTGTACATAATAAAGCTAAGTTTTTTTGAGATTGTTATAGTGTGCATTCTATATTCTATATACATTTGAATATTTAAAGCACTTGAGGGAGTGTTTATATGGTTTGCACCTGGTTGTTCTTATACTATTTTGTCTCTCCACGTGTTGTTGTTTTGAGAGCAGAAAAAAAAAATTAACATTTGAAATATCAGCAACTATATTAATTATAAACATTTTGCTAATGTGAGGGGTACAATTTATGAAAAAAAAGGTTGGAAACCACTGTGCTACTCCACTGGTTCATCCATAGACAGAGCCTGAATCATATGTGACAGCTGCTGGGATTTGACAAAAGTTGACAAAGAAATTATGCTAAAAATTATGCCTACTCAAAAGGAAGCTATGCTAAACGAAACCAGCATGGTATGCTGAAAGAGATGGAAGTTGATAAGGATCACGAGTAAGACATGTTAAATTAGGGGTATGAGAGTCTCCTTCTAAGGAAGGAAAACAGACTGTAGCTAAGTGCAGTGTCTAAGCAGCATAGACATCAGATTTTATCACCAACAAACAAACTCAACCCTTTATGAACAAATAAGGTGTGGAGAAATTAAGAAGAGATATGTCAAGTACATCATACTTTTTTCAGTTAGGGATATAGATCCATGTAATATTTTTATGATGATGATCACTTTCCTGCAGTTAGTAGGTTTATTATAATGCAGGGAAGAAATCAATTATTTAATCAAAGCAGTTCATTTAAGCTTCCGCTATACTATGAATCTCTGTTATGGAATCACAGACTTGTTTGATCATCTTTAATACACTACTTGCAATCTAATCAGTTGTATTTCAAACAGCAGGTTCTCAATCTCATTTACAGGTACACTCCAGACCCCAAAAGTATTTACAAAAAGTGCAGACTTCAATAGAGAATCGGCACTTTTATAAATTAACCTTATTACAAACCGGTCGCTGTCAGTCAATAGGTCCCAGGGCCGCCATCAGGGGGTGACAACCATGACGGTTGTCAAGGGCCCGGGTGCTACGTGTAGCAGCAGAACTGCCGCCGGTGCAGTTGCACCAGGTCCCGCACGCTGATGGGGCCTATTGGGTGGCCCACGGCGGGGGGAGACCTAATGTGCATGCGTGGCAATGCGCATTAGACCTCCCCATAGGAAAGCATTGAAAAATGCTTTCCTATGGGGATTTCAGCAACGCTGGAGGTCCTCACATAGCGTTTTTTTTTTCTCTCTCTGGGAAAATA